TTCTTGTCATCTTTTAAGTCTGCTAGAGAGTCCCTGTAGCATTCTGGCAGGGGTCAGATGTTTTTACAGCTTCTCTCAACCAGTAAGCAGAGGAAAGTTTCCACCTGGAGTAAGCAATGATCATTTCTTACTGACATTTGGGGCTTCCTGTAATGACTTTCCAGGCATAGGTGCCTGTCTGCCCAAGGATCCAGGCTTAGCTCTGTGATTTGACATTGCTCCTGGGTCAAGCCAGGAACCCACTCTGGTGGCTAAGTTTTCTATGGGGGCCTGTACCCCCACATTTATGACCCCCATTATAAAAAGTGAAAAGCAGGGAAACTCCTCCCTTCCACCTACTTTCTTTGCTTCTGGATCCTCTGACTCCAGACAGCAGATATGCCTTAGCTAGAACTCAAGGAATCACACTCCCCATTAATGGCAGAATCCATTTCTACACACAGGTTGACACTTGAATCTCCATGTTGCAATGATTTCATCCTAGCCATCTAGTAGGAATTTCTCTCCCCTCACTTGATGGGGGCGCCTGTAGTAAAAAGTGTCATCTTCATCCAGGTAGACAATACTCTGGACCTTCTGCAGAGCCTGCAGAAGGCAAGTAGGACATGGGTGCAGGGAGATACAGCAGGCCTAGTTATGTGTAGACATCATCCAAGTCCAAGTTCAAGAAAAAAAAAATCCCCCCCCTGCCAAGCATTTGTCTGAGGACAGTTTTTGACAACAGCCCTGTGTATTCTATACCCATCATGGCTAGAAAGTCCCTCTAGTTCTTCAAGGCAACAAGACTGAACACATAATGATTCAGAGTCAGTTATGTGCTAAACCTTCCAATGCATTGACTTGTTTCCACCTCATTTTACAGATGAGAAACTGAGGCTCTGAGAGATGAATCTAGTAAGTGGCTCAATAGTAAGAACAACTTGGGTTTTGTACACAGACATTTCTGGGTCTATCTACTGATAGTTTACCCTCGGAAACTGGGGCCCACCTATGAATTCAAAGTGTTTGGCCAAAGTGCAGCTTTGGCTGAGCACCCTGAGGACTTGTTTCATCTCCACTGAGTCTATTGAGCCCTTGAATTACTAAGAGCTCAGAACCCACCAATGCAGCTGCCCAATTTGTTTCTCTGTGGGCCTGTTACAGTACCTTCAGCCTCTGGGCCACAAAACCATGGAGGAGTGGACTGGGCTCAAGAAACCATTAAAAGCAGCTCTAATTGTCATGGGATAAAGTCTTTAATGTTATCTTGGTCTTGGACTGTGATGCCCATGACACACACACTGTGAGGGGCGGGGGGAAGTCCTTTGGAAGTAGGACAGCAGCGCTGAGAGGCAAGGAGAAGAGCAGTTTTTCTCCAGGTGCCCCCATGTTCTGGGCACCCTTCCAGCCCCCTGGCACGGGAAACAGAGCTGTTGTGGTTCCCTGCTGCATCCTTGTGGCTCTTCCTGGGTTCATCTGGGTAGAGTCCCCAGGAGTGCAAAGGCCCTGCTGCCCCAGACCTCTCAGTGGAGTGAGATTCCTGGGTAGGAACTTCAGTATATCCATGTTCCATCCATGACTGGGATTTCCCCCCTCATGGTGGACTCCTGACCTCTTAGGCTGGAATACTTGTCAGTCCAAGCAGTGCTGCAGGATAGGAGGGGCCTAAGTGAGCGCCCCTCCTCTCATTTCTTATGCTGCATTTTGACGTGGGCCCCTTTGGTGTTGTTTTTTTTTTAATTAAGTTAGATGTTTAAGAATATTTGTTTGTTTATTTATTTTTTGGGCTGTGCTCGGTCTTTGTTGCTGCGTGGGCTTTTCTCTAGTTGCAGGGAGCGGGGGCTATGCTCCAGTTGCAGTGCACTGGCTTCTCATTGTGGTGGCTTCTCCTGTTGCAGAGCATGGGTTCTAGAGTGCCCAGGCTTCAGTACCTGCAGCTCCCGGGCTCCAGAGCACAGGCTCAATGGTTGTGGCACGTGGACTTAGTTTCTCTGCGGCCCGTAGGATCTTCATGGGCCAGGGATCAAACCCTTGTCTCCTGCACTGGCAAGCGGATTCTTTACCACTGAGCCAGCCACCAGGGAAGCCCATGATGCAGGCCCCTTTGATCTGGCTTACCCAGCTCTACACAGAGCATAAGTAAGCACCATTCACTCTAGGGCTGGGTCTTATCCTCCCAGTTAAGGGTGAGCATCCGCTTCAGTAGGAGTGCTGATGTCTGTCCTCTGAGGAGGCTGCTGCATGGAGCCATACTTCAGACAAGGAGGAGCATCATTCAGAATTTAATAGAGGGTATAGGAGAGCTACCAGACGTTCCAGTTCAATCTCCATTTAGGTCTATTCATAGCTTGGGCAGTTTTCTATTGTAAATCATGTGAATCATTCACATGATTTACAATAGATCATAGATCCTATGTAAACCTATGAATCCTATGTAAACCTATGAATCCGATGTGAACTATGTAATTCCTTCTTCTGCAGAGCTTCCCTGGTGGCTCAGATGGGAAAGCGTCTGCCATGGATGGAGGAGCCTGGTAGGCTACAGTCCATGGAGTTGCAAAGAACTGGACATGACTGAGCTACTTCACTTTCACTTTCTATGTAAACCAGGCAAATCTGCTACAAAATGGAGTTCAGTTCAGTCACTCAGTCGTGTCCGACTCTTTGCAACCCCATGAACCGCAGCACACCAGGCCTTCCTGTCCATCACCAACTCCCGGAGTCCACCCAAACTCATGTCCATTGAGTCGGTGATGGCATCTAACCATCTCATCCTCTGTCATCCCCTTCTCCTCCTGCCTTCATCTTTCCCAACATCAAGATCTTTTCAAATGAATCATCTCTTCACATCAGGTGGCCAAAATATTGGAGTTTCAGCTTCAACATCAGTCCCTCCAATGAACACCCAGGACTGATCTCCTTTAGAATGGACTGGTTGGATCTCCTTGCAGTCCAAGGGACTCTCAAGAGTCTTCTCCAACACCACAGTTCAAAAGCATCCATTCTTTGGCGCTCAGCTTTCTTTTAGTCCAACTCTCACATCCATACATGATTATTGGAAAAACCACAGCCTTGACTAGACGGACCTTTGTTGGCAAAGTAATGTCTGTTTTTTAATATGCCGTCTAGGTTGGTCATAACTTTCCTTCCAAAGAGTAAGCGTCTTTTAATTTCATGACTGCAATCACCATCTGCAATGATTTTGGAGCCCCAAAAAACAAAATCAGCCACTGTTTCCCCATCTATTTGCCATGAAGTGATGGGACCGGATGCCATGATCTTAGTTTTCTGAATGTTGAGCTTTAAGCCAACTTCTTCACTCTCCTCTTTCACTTTCATCAAGAGGCTCTTTAGTTCTTCACTTTCTGCCATAAAGGTGGTGTCATCTGCATATCTGAGATTATTGATATTTCTCCCGGCAATCTTGATTTCAGCTTGTGCTTCATCCAGCCCAGTGTTTCTCATGGTGTACTCTGCATAGAAGTTAAATAAGCAGGGTGACAATATACAGCCTTGACATACTCCTTTTCCTATTTGCAACCAGCAAAATGGAGTATTTGTCACAGGCTCTGAAGGGGGTGTTGGTGATGAGTGAAATACTGTTTGTGCACTGTGAGATCCAGGAGTCTTTGAAAGCATTGTGTTTTTGCATGACAGATGTTCTCAGAAGCCTTATATCCAAGAATCTCGGTGTCCTTTCTGAAAATCCTGATCTTTCAAATGCTCGTGAGAATCACCCAAGGCTAGTGGGAAGATGAAGAGGCCCCCAATTCCTTCTTTGCCCTCAACTTGGGCTGCTCACTCAACCACGACAGCTGTCATCAACGGCTTGGAGCGTTCCCCTTCTTTGCCTCTAGAGCTGCTCCCCACCTCACAAGGGGAATTGAGAAGCCAATTTAATTTAATTGATTACCACTTACAAAGCTGTGGTTACTCCTCTGAGAGGCCTAGTTAAAGTTTCTGAGCTATATAGAGATAACAAAATAAAAAGCACAGTGTAAGGCAAAGGATGATTATCAAATTGCTCTAGGAATCTTCAATGTAGAAAAGATATAAGAGAAAGATTGAAAGGTATTAGCCGATAAGTCTCACTGAGGTCAGAAGACTAGAGCAAACCTTCTTTTTTGAAAGAAAAGACAAAACTTTAGAAAATACTTTACACACACACACACTATAGTCCCTTCTCAGATAAATGTTGAGTTTCTATCTTAGGCTACATTAACACTGTTAACCTATTCTAAATTCCTATGGCACAGCAAGAGTCTTAAATAGTTATAAGATTTTTTTTTTAATGTATGAGCTTTAAACTTGTTTTCTTTCTTTAAATAGATGTATATTAACTCTCCGTTTAGGCTGTAGGACCTCCTAGCTTAGTATAACAGCCCAGCAAAATAAGAGTGGATACAAACTCTGTAATTTACTCACAGGCATAAATGGATATATAAATGTAAAAATGTGCACAATATTTTATGCCATGCTTGGCTTCATTGTGACCTAATGTTTATAATATGTAAATAATGGTTTCCTTTTAAAGCAAAGAACTTTTAATAGATAGATTCATCTGAAGTCCCTTTCTTTAATAGAAACAGAAATAAAAAGAAAAAAATATTCTTTTGCAATAAATAAATACCCAATGACAAAGGTTACCATTGAAGGGATTTAAAATGACAGAAGTCAACAGAAAACTTTCAATATCATACTTCTACTTTAATATGAAGATATTGTTATCAAAGGGAAAGACTCAAGAAATTCTTTGATAAAAATAATCTCACGCTATCTTTGAAGCAGTTTCATTTATTTTACTACCCACTGTGTTGCTTATCAGAAGGCCAACGGTAAGAAGTTCCCTAGTTATGATTAGGAAAGAATCTGATAGATCAGAAGACTCAATTGAAGTTGGACATAATAAGTATTAAAGTATTACATGACATTAATCCTGCCATTCCATTACTCTTTCCATCTTTGTGCACAGACTAATTATTCTGAAGCCAGTGTTCAGGAGAAAATAGAAATATACTTACCCTGGGCTGGAGTAATCTCTTTATTGCATCAACAAGGCTGGCTCTGTACTGGTCCAGAAATAGGCTGACATTGAGAAGAGAGCAGCATCCAGATTAAACTGGGTTTTCAAGTCTAATGATACTAATGGAGATCAAGGCTAGTTACATATGTTTACTCAACACTAAAAGACAGAAATTATTTCCTTCCATTCAAGTATCTCACTAGAATACTAATAATAAAAAAGATACTGTGGTCAGGGTTATCCAATCAAAGCCAAGTCATCAACATGTGGTAGGCCAAAATTCACACGTGACTGGACCATGTGCTAGTGTGCAATGGGCAGTTTCTAAGCTGCTGTTTGGGGGAGTCATCTGGTGGAGATGAAGTTCTCCCAACACTTGTCTCTGCAAACATGGGTCCTCTGTCCATCGGAGGCGCTGTGAGGCCATCCTTCAAAATCAAACCACTGGCCCTATTACACACTGACCATAGAAAAGACCTCAGGTAGTGATGGTTTTTAGTAACTAATAACAGCAACAGTCCCTAAAGGTTAGTTCCAACCAGTGACTTAGGAATAAATAAAGACCAGGGTTAGGCAAAGCATCCCAGAGACCATAGCAACTCTGGATTCAATATCTGTCGATAACCTGCTATATACTAGGAGCTGCTTCAGGCCATGGAGATAAGCTGTGAATAAGACAAAATTCCCATCTTCAAGGAGCTTCCAGTCTGTATGCATTTCTGTATCACTAGCTCTGGCCCAGCTTATGCACAGAGAAAGTGCTCAGTGAATAGTTACTTACTGGCAGGCCAGGGGTATGGCTCAGTGGTAGAGTACAGGCTTAGCATGCATGAGATCCTGGGTTCAATCCCCAGTACCTCCATCTTCATATTTTGGGTTTCCCTGGTGGCTCAGACAGTATAGAATCTGCCTGCAATGCGGGAGACCTGGGTTCAATCCCTGGTTTGGGAAGATTCCCTGGAGAAGGGAATGGGAAGCCACTCCAGTATCTTTGCCTGGAGAATTCCATAGACAGAGGAGCCTGGCAGGCTACAGTCCATGGGGTTGCAAAGAGTCAGACATGACTGAGTGACTGTCACTTTCACTATTCACTTTACTAGCAGATCAACACAGTCTTTGAAATGGAGGGGCTTACGCAGGGTGAGTTTTAATGCACCTAAAACTGTTTGTACATACTCCTTCACTGGTCGTGCTACAGAGGAATCAGCATTTAGGCAGGATGTTTCACCAGACCAGGTTCTCTCCTAACTCTCTCACTTAAGATGAGTGGGGAGAGTGGCTGTTGAGATACTTCCAAGAAGGCAGAACTTGGGCTTCACCATGACATGCTTAGTGGGAGTTTCTTCTATAAAAGTCAGTTCTAAGTGGCTCAGAGGGTAAAGCATCTGTCTGCAATGCGGGAGACCTGGGTTCAATCCCTGGGTTGGGAAGATTCCCTGGAGAAGGAAATGGCAACCCACTCCAGTATTCTTGCCTGGAAAATCCAATGGATGGAGAAGCCTGGTAGGCTACAGTCCACAGGGTCGCAAAGAGTCGGACCTGACTGAGCAACTTAACTTTCACTTTCTTCTATAAAATGCTGCTTTGAGCAATGGAAAAAGAATCCTCTTAAGGTGAACTAGAAATTATCTCTAGAATGGAAACCCATGTGTCAATCAGGATAGGCTGATTATTATATGGGAAAATTTCTTACTGTTCCAGAAAACTATGCATTTAAATCTTAGAGCACAAAATGTGTCTAATTTGAATGCTACAGAAGTTTGTGTTTTAGTCATATTAATTCGGTTAATAACAAGTAAGGGTCAGTAAGAAAGGAGTCGAATTGTATTTAAGTGTTTTGAAATGTTCTCTGCAGGCCTTTATACCTTATTCTTTGGTGTGGTAATACTATCTTGCTGCTGCTGTTGTTGTCGTTTAGTCACTAAGCTGTGTCCAACTCTTTTGCAACCCCATGGACTGTAGCCCACCAGGCTCCTCTGTCCATGAGATTTCCTAGGCAAGAATACTAGAGTGGGTTGCCATTTCCTTCTCTAGGGGGTTTTCCTGACCCAGGGATTGAACCCATGTCTCCTGCTTGGCAGGTATATTCTTTACCACTGAGCCCAGGGAAGAAACAATAATACTACCTTAAATGTTAATAATTAAGCATTCTATTTAAATACCTCTATCAGTTACTTGAGTCCACAGGAGGCCTGGCTAGTTGGGACACAGAGCACGAAGCAAAAGACCATTCCCAGTTTATACCTGTGCATCCTAAGAGTTGGTAAGACTGTTAGAGATAAATAATTAACAACTTAAAAGCTGAGCTTAAAACATAACCTTATACAGGGAATGGAAGATAAATTAGGAGTTTGGAATTAACATATACAATATCACTATATATAAAGTAGGTGAACAACAAGGACTTAACGTGTAGCACAGGGAATTATACTCTATATCTTGTAATAACCTATGAAACAGGAGAAGTGTTAGCTGCTCAGTAGTGTCTGACTCTTTGCGACCCCCATGGAGACAGCCCACCAGGCTCCTCTGTCCACAGAATTCTCCGGGCAGGAGTACTGGAATGGGTAGCTATTCCCTTCTCCAGGGGATCTTCCTGACCCAGGGATTGAACCCAGGTCTCCTGCATTGCAGGCAGATTCTTTACCATCTTAGTCACTAGAGAAGGCTATAATAAACTATAATGGAAAAGAATATGAAAAAAGAATGTATATATATATACACACACACACGCTGCTTAGTTGCTTCAGTCATGTTAAAACTCTGTGCGACCCTATGGATTGCAGCCTGCCAGATATCTGAATCACTTTGCTGTATACTTGAAACTAAGAAAACATTGTAAATTAACTATACTTCAATAAAAAAACATAGCCTTATAAAATACTACTTCTATTTACTATTGGCAATGGTGAAAAAGATATTAACATCACAGCTCACTAGAAAATGCAGCTTAACACAAAGCACACATTCAAAACACAGTTATTTGAAAGCTAATTCTGTCTACTCCATCATTCCAAGTCAAATTTCCCAAAAGTAATTCTTATAGTTCTCTAATAGGTCTTTATTCCAAGCAAGCTCACTTTTCTAGTTAGCTCTGGTGCAGAATTTATAACGCTTTGTAGGATACATCCTATGAGCAATTTCAATGTGCTTTAGTGGGAGTGATATATAATCTCCTGAAAATTCACCCCTTAAATAAGTCCTAATGGGCTCAGAGAACAGCAGTAGCTTAAGTGGATCTATTAAAAAAAGGTTGAGTGGGTCAGTGATTGGGATGGAGATACCATTTTAACTCTCCCTTCAGTTACTGATCAAAATACATTGACAATCAGTCCAGTTTGGCCATTAAACACACACACACACACACACCCCTCTCTATAATTCACTTGTGGAATCAACGCTTGCTTTGTCCCATTGATCTGAATCATAGATTATACGACAAAGGGAAGGTGCCAGGCCATTTTCATTGCCTCCCTTAGAATCAGTCAGGGTTTTCTGCAGAGCACAGAGCATCTTCATCTCCTGGCAGAGGGAAATTAATTAGTACAGAGAACAAGGAGACATTTCTGTCAGTATTCTCAGAGAAGAAGACCTCTGTGTAATTTTCAAGGTGAAATGTGTTCCAGTTCACTGTTTTAGATTTCACTTTCAGCAGACCGAATAGCCTCTCTCAGTCTTTAGCGACTGACTGCTGGGGCAGCCATATTCTATCCCGTGTGGCGCCACCCCTTAGGTGCCAGATCTCTGACAATCTGTCCATCTTCTCCAGGACTGAGTTTCCTCAGGTGTGAGGTGAGAGGGCTAAAGATCTTTTCAGGTGGAAAGGTCTATGAGTTGTGATTTAGAACTATCTATGATCAGAGCATCTGGAAGAAAACAAAGAAATCCTAGAGCCTATTTTGAGAAAAACAATTTTTCTTCACAAAACCCAAACTTGTCATCATTTAAAGTAAAAAGGATAGAACATAGAAACAATCCACTGTATACAGCTGGTGTGAAAATGCTGGGAGAGCAAATGAGGTGATGAACCTTCCCACATTTCTTCCCAAAGTGTCAGGCTGCAGGCAGGCAGATGTGGTTCACCATCCTATAGACGGAGCTCTGTGCGTCCAGTTGAGGGTGGCACTTTAGACTTGCTCTGCAAGCCTTTAGAGAATCCACATGTATGGACTCTTTTTTTTTTTTCTTCAAATTTACAGAATCATTTTTATTTTTGCAGAGCTACAATAAACTGGAAAGCCATCAAACACTGAATGAAATTGTTCATTGTATTAAAAAAACATCTTGCTACCAGACTCTCAGATCATTGTGATTGAACAGAAGTCTGGAAAGGCAGGTTTAAAATTAACAATCACTCGCTATTCTAAACTCAGCAAGGACAGGGGTGGACTGCATTCCAGCAGAAAGGAATTCATATTAAATTCAACATTAAACTAGTCAACCAAGGAACTTAATAGGAGAGTTCTTTTTTTTTTCCTACACCTGCAGTTAAATATTCTAATATTTTGATGTTTGTCAACAGCATCCTTTTGCAGGTATGACTGTTACCTTGATTTTTTTTCTTTCTGTTTATTTCAAAGTTGACATTTTACAAGTTACTTAGGAACTGTTGAACCATGAAACTATATTTCATTGTCAAAAATGCTGAATGGTGAAATAATGACTAGCTTTCAGTTGCCTCTTTATTTTATAATCTAGTTGAGCTACTAAATTTAGATGTGAACTAAGAGACTGTCTCTTCTGGGAAATAAGTTATTCCCCCCATTGCCTACAGGTTTATGAATGTTTGAATGTAAATATATGAATATATGAATGATTTAAGAACATAAACATATCACCGCTCGTAATCATGTGCATTTTACTTGAACCACAATGTGGGTTTGGAATAGGTTTGTGAATAGAGCTTGTTTTCATGTAAATGGGATCAAGCGGTACCACTGGTTAGCTATTCAGGGAATCAGACAATGCCACCCTTGCTGGCAATGCTTCAGTAAGAATTTAATCCATGTACCTAATATTTGAACTCCAACTCTTGCTTCATATTCCTGTGGCCTAATCCAGATCTCATTGACTGACAATGACTCGAGGATGGTGTGAGACTTAACGTCATCTATTTATGTGTGGCACCTATTTCTGGCACCGACTATTTCAGGTTTCATCTTAGAGGTAGTGACTAAAGAGAGCTTTCTTTTCCTCCTGTGACATTCTTCGAAAAAAAAAAAAAAAAAAAAGCAGCCTGGTCTGCCTGCCTGACTGTCCCTAGAAGCAGCATCTGTGTAATAACTCTGACAGAGAAACATCAACTCTACAAGACATAAAGAACTCCTGGAGTCCTGGGCTTCCTTGCTATAGGCACAACATGTATATTATGAACATCACTGTACTTTTTAAGTTTCTAAACAGCGTACCCATCTCTGTGAGTATGAAGACAGACCACTTCCAAAGCATTCCTTTTGGAAATAATATCAGCATCACAGTGAGAGCAGCTTAATGTTTCACATTTACAAATGGGAAATTATAAACTGCCTGACATTCCAGCACTGACAGCACCAGGAGGGAAAAAAAACAATTCATGCATAGAAAAAAACCATTTATAAAAGGAAACTTGGTGTATTTGGTTCATCTGAATACATAAATTCTCAATAGTTACTCGCTGTGCATATATGTATATGGTATATGTGTGTATGTATGTATGTATTACATCATATTATGATATAATGTATTTGGAATGAAAGCCTTAACTGAATATGCATTATGTATGTTGGCTGTACAGGATCTTGTTGTCGGCTAGGGGAAAAAAGACTATTTTTCAAACATGTTGTGTGGCTATTTTTAACCTGAGAACATTAATCAGAAAAGAGCTTGAATCTTACTTCGTCTGCTTGTCTCTCTGGTACAAATAGGATGACATGGTGTGAGTGTCATAATACAAGGTATGACAAAGCCAGGCTGTTTTGATATTTGTGCAAAGGACACATTTAACTTGAAATCTCTTGGCCAGACCTGACTTTCCCCACATAATCAGGGCCCATCAGTGGGCGACCCTCGTCTAAATCTCCAAGAAGATCCTGCCCTCCTTCCTTCTCTCCGCTGCTCTCTGATCTGACTTTCATACTTAATCTGATATAATCCTGCAAGCATTATCTTCATCTGTGCAATGAAACCTGGAGGATCCTTTCTCATATTTGGTGAGGAAAGGCATTTACTAAATTACTTGCTCAAATCATATGGTGAGGTTTTAGCTCCTTATTTTTGATTAGATGAGGGCTGTAATATTGAGACACAATATCAATGATTAGTCAGAAATCTGGTTCTCCCTTTTTCTGGAAAAAGGCTTTCTGAAATTGGGTACAGAGAGACTAAAATGGCCATGAAAAACTCAACTAAAAATGGAAGAAAATATTTAATTTTCACTGAGAAGTGTTTTTCTGGAGAAAAAGACTGTTTTCTGGAGAAAACAGAAAATAAATCTAATCTCAGGGGCTTAGGCAGAAAGTTTACCCACTAAAAATCTTATTAAATATTAATAATTTTAATAAAGACTTCCTGGAGATTACATTCCATTCATTCAATTCTCACATAAGGAAAATCTTCTCTAGGTTATGGGTCTTGTGTTTGGGTTTATCAATAGAAGAGAACTCCTTTAGAATCTTGTGTCTTCAAATTCATAGTGTCATTTTAAAAATCATTCAGTTCAGTTCAGTCGCTCAGTCATGTCCGACTCTTTGCGACCCCATGAATCGCAGCACACCAGGCTTCCCTGTCCATCACCAACTCCCGGAATTTACTCAAACTCATGTCCATTGAGTCATTAGAAAACTACAAATAAGATCTTACTCTTAACAGGAAAAATTGTGAATTGTCATGTTTCTCATATGCTGAAATAATTATTCAACACATGAAGAAAATACATAAGATTAGTTGAAATCATTATTAAGGTTTGATACATATTTATCCTGTAACTTAGGGATGAGACTTTCATTAACAATAAGTAGACTGGGCTAAAAGGGAAGACAAAATATCAATGTAAATTATTTTTAAAAGGCAAGCATCTAACAGAGATTTTACTATTATCATTTGCATAACAATAAAATGGAATTTTATAATTCTTGTTTTAAGTATAATTAAATATCATAATTGAAGACAATGGAAATACTAGATAGCAAATATACATTTCAAGAAAAGCTATTTCCCTAAAGATATTCCACAGATATGTTTATATGCTGGAGTGTATATGTGTGCACACACACATACATCTATATATTCCCTTATATCAACAGTCAGATCTCTCCTAAGAAGTAAGCTAATTGAGCTGTTTGTGTTGATAAACTCCTTTTTCTCCAGACTATTCCTCCCCGAGCCATAATTATTTGCAATTTGCCTAAGTCGTCCATTTACTGATACGTCAAGCATGAAACAGAGGCAATTCCAGAAAATGGAAATGCTTCTCAAAATCAATCTTTGGGAAATAATGTGGTAGAAGTTACTGTGTGATAGAAGACTACCTTGTAACTGTCACATGGAGATGAATATTAATTTGCGGAGGTTAAGGCGGCTTTGTGCCTCATTTGTTGACTCTGCTTCACCGTCAGCAGAGCTGCACAGCCCAATTACTCCAGCAAAGCTATTTTTTTTTTCTAACAGGAGTTTTATGATTTTTATGTACTTACCAGTCAGCACACATAACAATGTCAAAATGTCCTTCCAGTTGAGAGACATCTGTCTCATTATCCCATCGTAAAACGCTTGAGAAGAAAAAGATTTTAAAAATTATACTTAGGGTTTTTTTTTAAACTTTTGATTTTGAGCTATTAACATTATTTTTGAGGCACTTGAAATTATTTAAAAGGTATATACAAATTATTTCAAAAGCATAATAATAAAAAAAAACTAGGGATGTAACTGTCTGTTCCATATTTTATTTAGTCTTCAAATCTAGGAGAGGAAGAATTCTCCATTCAAATACAATAGTTAGGTTTTTGCTAGTTTTTATAGGCTTGTGTAGACATACTAGGGAAAAATATCTTGACCAGCATCATTAGAATGAGTCCAGACTCTTAACATCAATGAAAGTACATAATGAAAGCAAAGTGCTCCCCATCTACTGGAATACAAACTTAGACCAAATAAATGATTTACATGGTTAAAAATCTTCCTTGCTAGGCAGAGGACATAGATTCGATCCCTGGTCCGGGAAGATCCCACAAGCTGTGGGGCAACTAAGCCCTTGCCCCACAGCTACTGAAGCTCACGAGCCTAGAGCCTGTGGTTTACATCAGGAGAAGCCTCTGAAATGAGAAGCCTGTGAATGGCAACTAAGGTAGCCCTACTTGCTGCAACCAGAGAAAGCCCACACAAAAATGAAGACCCAGCACAGCCAAAATAAGTAAGTAAATATAAAATGTAAGATAAATGATGTGAAACTTAGTGCTTGGCATATCAGCTGCATTTCTTATTGATGACTACTTTGGAAAGATGGAAGAAAAGAATACCAACTTTCCTTTGGGAGTTCTCAAGTTTTCAGGCATATTTTAAAATTCACCTTTCCGGACTTTTAGTCTCTTCTTGTAGAGACTAAATAATAATAACGTAATAACACGTAATAACAATAATTAATAACATGTATTTGAAAATTCTAGTTATTCTTATGATGCCAACCAGAGATGCTGTTACTCTCAATTAATAACTGTGATGATTAGCATTTTATCACATTAGAGTATTTAATGACTCCTCTTCCCACCTCATCAACTGTGATTTGCAGTATTACTTTTCAAAGTGAAATTCTGCTCCCATTATCTATTTTGATTATTATTTAAAACTAAACTGAGTGAGCATAGCCTACTCTGTCAAGTTATATTTGCTTATCTTGGTGGGTTCTTTATTTCTGCTAGATCTTCTCTTGTTTGGATATAGAAATAAGTCTTATTTTAGTAAGTCCTAAAGTTCTTTTCAAATATTAATACATTAATATACATCTATGCTGGTAACTTTTTTAAGGTAGAAAGATTAGCCACATCACCATGAAAATACCTGTACAGGCTGAACACCAGTTATTCATTCACTTATTTGGCTCATCCTTAGTGGGTACCTACTATGTGGCAGGCCCTGCTATGTGCCACAAGCCATGCTTCACAGAGGCAGCCTTGGCTACATAAACCTGTATGTCAGATGCTGTGCCCTGTGAGTTATGTAAGCATGCAGACTCAGAGCTCCATGGAGGGTTTTCCAGAAGAAGCAGATAACCTCTTTGTTCACAGGTCCTAGGACACATGGACGAGCTTTATAAATTCACGGTAGCATTGTACTTGCCCAGGCCTATTGGAGAGCTGAGAAATGGAGGAAACCAGGAAACCCTTGAGATATTAATGCTGTTTCATTGCTAGATTGATTCCTCAATCACACACTTGGGGAGGATGGGAAACAACCAACACCACCTTTTCTAAAAACGCTGAGGCTTCCAAGTGCAGCCGGGACTCAGGCTCAGTGGGAGTGAGCCCTCATCAGAAACCTGAGCGTCTCTGAGAGTTTCCACATGAACAAGACAATTTAAAATATAAAAGTAACACCTCCATTACATAAATTTTGGGAAAAAAAAGAAAAGTATTAAAAGTACTCATCATCTTACCATTCATAAACCATCATTTAGAAGATCCTTCTAACATATGTGTAATGACTAACGCACCAGAACAGAAACTGCAGGAAATGCTGCGGTGAGATTGGATATTGGATTTCTGAGGGCTTTAGACCCTCAGTTTGATAAAGACCAACCAGACAGACGGGGATGTAAACAGCAGTGGGTTGTGGGTTGGTACAGAAGAGGTAACGAGCCGTGATTCTAAAAGAAATGGGAATGTTCAGCTTGGCCACATGGACCAGAACACATTCCCTAAAGGCATTTCCCCCCACTTTTCATGAAGTGTATGGCTATGCTGTCCCCATAACTGTAAGCAAGGAACAGAGGGGGACAGGAGGATGGACAGAGTCCAGTTTCGGCATGACAGACGTGGTGGTCGTGGTAGTGGTTGGTGCTGGTTTAGTCGCTAAGTTGTGTCCAACTCTTACAACCCCATGGACTGTAGCCTTCCAGGCTCCTCTGTCCCTGGGATTCCCCAGGTAAGACTACTGGAGTGGACTGCCATTTCCTTTTCCAGGGATCTTCCTGACCCAGGGATTGAACCCATGCCCCCTGCATTGCAGGTGGATTCTTTACCAACTGAGCCACCAGGGGAGCCCATGACAGACATACCCGTTTAAACATTGGTTCCTTCCTTTACCAGCTATGTGACTTGGGCAATTATTTCACTTCCCTGAGTTTGTTGTCTTATCTGTAAAATGGAGATAACAATGGCCACCTTCTTGAACAACATAAGGGCACCATTCACACAGTATTCTGAGTTCTACTGGTTACGCAGAATACAATGATACTGGTGCCTCCGGGAGTGGCGGAGATGAATAGACAAATGAGATTTTAAAAAAGCAAAGACATTCTGAATACAAGTCCACTGATCATAGGCTTAGATGGCACAGTAGTGTTTCTAAACATTTCCTTCCATTTCTGAACTTACCTCCTTGCAGCTCAGTAATGTATAGTTTGCAAACTGATACCAGTCTTGGCCTCCTCATTAAGTAGCCCGGCTCTCAGTCCTGGTCTTTACCGATAACTGTAACACTGAACTACTCTCCAACAGCCCCACTTCTCACAGTTCACCTCTTCTAGTAAGGACTCTGATTCAAACTATTCTTCAATCTTCTGTTCAGTTTAGTTTTTCAGTCCTGTCTGACTCTTTGCAACCCCGTGACACACTAGGCCTCCATGTCCATCACCAGCTCCCGGAGTCCACCCAAACTCATGTCCATTGAGTCGGTGATGCCATCCAACCGTCTTATACTCTGTTGTCCCCTTCTCCTCCTGCCCTCAATCTTTCCCAACATCAGGGTCTTTTCAAATGAGTCAGCTCTCCGCATCAGGTGGCCAAAATATTGGAGTTTCAGCTTCAACATCAGTCTCTCCAATGAACACCCAGGACTGATCTCCTTTAGGATGGACTGGTTGGATCTCCTTGCAGTCCAACGGACTCTCAGGAGTCTTCTCCAAGTTCAAAAGCATCAATTCTTTGGCTCTCAGCTTTCTTTAATTTGGTTTATTTTCTATAAAACATCTTATTTACCCATTAGTGTTTCATTGGGTAAGTCTGGTTATTGATACAAAACAGAATTTTCCCCAGATCATTCAAATGAAGACACTCTTATGAAAGGTAACCTTTTAGAGGCGTAGGCATGGCCAAAAGAAAAAATGAAGAATGGTGAGGAACCCAGAAACCAGCAACAGAAGAAACAATGAACATTCCTACTGCTTAAGGAGCAAGTGAGAAAACAGCTTTCCTGAGCTCATAGAGCTGGAGTCATAGAGGGATAACTGTTTCTAGAGTAGTGATGCCAAAGCAGGCAGAGGGCAGGAAGATAGATCCCAAACATGTTATCCTCCTGCTGAGACTTCCCATTGGTTGAGCTCAGCCGGAAGTCAGGGCGCAAGGGAGCCCAAGTGACTGACACTTCTGTAAAGGTCCGCCAACTAGGGCACCAAGCAGAGCAGAGGATGCCATGTGGACTGGTGCATGAGTAGGAAGAAGAAGAATCAGCACATTAATCTGCTTTTCTTATAGCTCCACGAGGACGTTCCTAACACCCCACATTCTACATGGTCTTTGTGTCGTTCTATTTTCTGGTTATAGGGATTCAGATAAGCTCAGTTTCAAACTCTCTTTAGTATCACAAAAATTTCCTATTTTTTTCCTATTCTAGTCACCTTCTCNTCCCTGGGATTCTCCAGGCAAGAACACTGGAGTGGGTTGCCATTTCCTTCTCCAATGCATAAAAGTGAAAAGTCAAAGTGAAGTCTCTCAGTGGTGTCTGACTCTTTGCAACCCCATGGACTGCAGCCTACCAGGCTCCTCCGTCCATGGGATTTTCCAGGCAAGAGTACTGGAGTGGGGTGCCATTGCCTTCTCCGATTCTACAGCATAGTTCTAACAATTCTTCCTTCTCTCTCATATGTTATCAGAGTTCTCCCCTCTCTACTGGATTACTTCCATCAGTATTCAAACATTCAAGCAGCTATTTCCCCCATCTTAAAATATCCTCTCTTCACTCTACCCTCCCTTCTGGTTATTGCTCCAAATCCCTCTTACATCTCTGCAGCAAAACTGCATGAAAAAGTTGTTTAAACTCTATTTTCAATTTCTCTCCTCCCAGTCAGGCTTTTGTCCCCACTGTTTACCAAAAATGCTCTTGTAAAAGTAACCAAAGATCTCCACATTGTTAAATTCAGCTCAGTTTTTACTCTTCATCTTATTTAACCTACCAGTCTGTACCATTCCCATTAGCTCCAGACTCATATATCCAACTTCCTATTTTAATATTGCCACTTGGGTGTCTAATAGACATCTCAAACTCAGTATCTCCAATAGAGAATTCCTCATCATCTTTCCCCAAATTCAGAGCATTCACTGCCTTTCTCATCGTGTTAATTCTCAGGCCAAAAACCTTGACTGTATCTTTGACTTTTACTTTTTTTACACCCTATGTTGACTATGCCAGGAAATGCTGTTAGTTCCACTTTTGAAATATGTCAGAATCCAAGTTTTCTCTATTTCCACTGCTCCCATCCTGGTCTAAACTACCACCTTCTCTAATCTGAATTACTGTATAGTCTCCTAATTGGTTTTCCTGCTATAATCCTACATTT